ATGAGATTTCCATGTGTGGGTGGTTGGGGTCAGTCACCCCCCTGCCGTGGGGGTGCCCCGGGGCTGTCCCTCACCCTGCTGGGATCCAGATGGCTGCCTGGCTGCTGGGGTTTAACGTATGGGGCTTTTTGGTAAAAGGCTAATTCAGCTTTGGGGGGGATGTGTTTGCTCCCCATCTTGGTGCAATAACACGTGGCAGCTTTGGCTCCAGCAGGCAGAGGGGTGCCAGGGCAGGCAGGGGTTGAGGGAGATTTGGGCAGAAGCTGAAGCAGGCACAGCACATCCCTTGAGCTGCACCCTGAAGGTCCTGCTCTTCCCAAGTGGAGCCACCTCCTGCCCCAGTGTGTGGCTGGAGCCCAGGTGAGGCAGGAGGTGCAGGACAGGCCCCAGGGGTGCAGCGGCGTTCGGGAAGCTCAGGCGTGGAGCTGTACATAAACCATGTGGGTTAATTTAAGTCATACACAGCCAGGCACTTAGATAACTGCGTTTTGTCCTCCGGGAACATCAGGGAGCATGAGCACCATTTGGCTTTGAGTGTTTCTCATCCTAGATAACACTAAAACACCCGGGGTTAATTCGCTTGTTTTCACACTCGTGCAGCTCCAGTGCCACTGTGCAGGATGAGGAGCAGCCTCACACCTCCATCCCTGGGTGGGATTTACACCGAGCACGTGCTGGGCTGAGTGTGTGTGCTAAAACACCCTGGCAAAGCCTGTCCTGGTGGTGCAGTCCAGCAGTTTTGTGGAGCACTGGTGGTGTGTGGTGCTGGCTGTCACCAGGGATGAGGCAGAGCAGACGTCCCTCCAGGATGGGATCCTTCCCGTGCAGCCGGCCCTGGGAAAGGCAGCCAGTTAAAATAACAGTTTATTCTGCCTGGTGTCTTTCAGGATGGTGGAAAGATCCCAGAGCAGCCCTGCCTGGGTTCCTGCTTTATGTCATGGAGCGGGGGCTGCTCTCCCAGCTGGGGTTGTTTTAGGGTTTTTCTTACTCTTTTCACTGCTTTCTTCCTGCCTGTCAGCAAAGTCTGGGAATCGGATGCGTCCCTTATTTTGCACATCCATTTCCCTTTCCTTGCATATGGGAAAAGAAATCAAAAGGCAGGAAAAAAAAATAAAATGAGTTCACAACGTAGAAATATAGCTTCAAGGGAGTTACTTGGAGCAGAAAGCTTGGCCTGGGTGTGATGCTCATCATTATCCTCCCACTGGGCACCATGCCGGTACCCTTCCCACATCACTTGGGGCAGAAGCATTTCCCGTAAGGGAAATCTGATTTTATCCCAAGGAAGCTCCTGAAATGGTGGGGGGAAATGGTATTTCAGTGTTCACCCTGCAAGATGTTTGCTGTTCTGGGTCACACCAGGGTTTGCATTGCTGTGCACTGGCTCTGGAGAGCGTCACCTCGTGCCTCCGTTTCCCCCATAGCAGAGGGGGATGCGATAACCCGGCGTGCGATGGAGAAACACTGTCTGCTGTAGGGCTGTGCTGCTCCAGGGAGTTTTGATCCTGTTACAGCAGGAGAAACTCAGACATTTCCTTAAAGCGCCCCCAATGCCACCCTGTCCCAGTCTGAGTGTTTGCTTTGGCGGGGGAAGCGGGGCCGGGTCTCCCTGGGGGCACGAAGGCTGTCACAGTGCCCAGGGGCTCTCGCGCCACCTCGCTCGTGGGTGGCACCCGTGTTTATTTACCTTTTCATCACCTGATTACCGTGCCCTGCCATGTTGCAGGCGCCAACCCGTGGGCTGCCAGCCCTGTTTGAGTTGGCAGGAGCTGGAGATTAACCTCCTGCTAAAATAGCCCGACGCCAGCCCCACGTCTGCCCGGGGTGGCCGGGCTGGTTGCGTGCCCTCAGAGCATCTTGTATTGATCTCTTGCAGCCCAGCATGGGCCAATGGCACCATGTGATGGCACAGCGAGGAAAGATGTTGTGACGTGACAAGCTCAGAGCAAGTTGAGTGTTCAGCAGTCCCTGGAGATGTGTTTTGTGCCCCCGCAAGGCAAAGCCCTGTGGGGTGGTGGAGCTGGGGCTGCCTCAATAACCTGGAGGGGACCATGCTCTTCTGCTGGTGGGAACGGGCCTGTGACATCCAGGCACCTATTGCCCTCTTGGGGTATTTCCACTTTCTTGGCTCTGCTCTCCAGAGCTGTGATGCAGAAGAGCAGGAGCAGAGGAATTGCAGATTTTGGGATACTCTGAGCAACCACCGTCACTTCCTACCCTTGGTGGTGTCACTGCATTTGTGTTGCAGTATCAGGGAGCCCAGGGCAGGATCTCCCTGCTGAGCCCTGAGCCACTGGCCAAAGAAAGGGGCTATTCAGGTGCCAGCCAGGACTTTCCATTTCAGCCTGTTTGCACTCACCACGTTGTCCGAAGGGAATTGCAGATTTGGAATTTTGCTGGTTCCCTGCCTGCGGCTTGCGGTGGGTTTCCCGGACGGATGGGACATGGCACCAGCTCTGCTGCCCTGCCTGGTGCCACGGGGCTGACTCACACTGAACTTGTGTTTTGATGAGTAGCAAACCCTCTTATTTCTAGTGAGACTTTGGAAGTGAGAGGCGTCAGCCCCAAACCTTCCTGTTTTCTGGTGGGTTTCGATCGACTCAAACCCCAAAATTTGGGTTTATTGTGACTTTCTGCCTTATTTCTTTCGGTATTTGTTGCAAAATGGGCACTGAGCTGCTACGTGGTGGTGGAAGGAGTCGCTGATGGAAGGGAACTGCCTGATTCTCACAGTACACAAAACTGGGGTTTTTTGGGAGGTGCCCACAGCAGCGTTGCTGCATTCGGGGTGACAGCGGTGGTGTCGCCGTCCCCGGCGGTGTCTCGGCTGGCTGCCCCAGCGCACGTGTTTCCTGAGTTCACAGAAACCTGTTTTCGTGCTTTAATCAAGATCTCATGCAAAGTCCCAGCTCTGCACGGGGCGCCGCTGCCGCTCGTCATGCAAACACCGTGTGGGAGAAGCACTGGGAGGACCCCACCGCGTTTTGGGCGGCTGCTCGGGGTGGAAATTCACCTCTGGGCACCTCGGTGGGCCAAGAGCTGTGGGAGCCCCAGCCGCCTCCCCCGGGGCACCCACCTGCCCCCAACCCTCTCACCTCACACCTTGGCACCCTCAAAAGTGGAGCCTGGATGGAAATAGCAGCAGCAGATCTCTTCTACTTTTAATTTCGGTGGCTCTCTGGGCTGGGGAGAGGAAGCCGGGGGTGGAAAGGAGCTGGCTGGGAGAGGGACAAGAGCCACCCTCCTCTGACACCCTCTCTGGAGCGATTTGAAACGCTGAAGCTGCTCCAAGATTATATATATAATCTTTGCTATAAGAATAATTATAGACATTACGTCCCAGCCTGTTTTTTAGGATAGCAGGGAATCAGGGTAGCCTTATCTAGGAGGACGTGGGTTTAAAACAACTCCTAGTGAGTGTGTCTGTGAGCACTGAGGAGCTGGTGCAGTTTGAAGTGTAAACACGTCCAGGCTTCTTGTTTTCACTGGTTTGTTCAGTGAAGGTGGGTTTGGTTTGTTTTTTTTTTCATTTCTCTGAATGAAAATAGGTGATGGAAAACAGCCGAGCAGGTTTCACTTCCTGCTCTTGCTCAGGGCTCCCCACTGGAGGTGCTTGGAGACAGCCCCATGTTTCATCTCATGATGGGACACCTTGAACTTCATGTGGTCCCTTATTCCCTCCCAGAAACAAAAATAGTTGGAGAAACATCTTGTTCTGTCATGGAATTATACAATCACTGAGGTCAGACCTCCAAGATCATTGAGTCCAACCATTAAACCAGCACTGCCACCTGCCTGTTGCCACCCCGTGGGGTGCAGAACTAGACTGAGGGATTTGGGGCTGTTCAGCCTGGAGAAGAGAAGGCTTCAAGGAGTGCCTAAAGGGCTCCAAGAGAGCTGGAAAGGGGCTTTAGACAAGGACCTGGAGTGACAGGACAAGTGAGAATGGCTTCCCACTGCCAGAGAGCAGGGTTAGATGGGATACTAAGGAAGAAGTTCTTCCCTGGGAGGGTGGGGAGGCCCTGGCACAGGTTGCCCAGAGAAGCTGTGGCTGTCCCATCCCTGGAAGTGTCCAAGGCCAGGTTGGATGGGGCTTGGAGTAACCTGGGCTAGTGGAAGGTGTCCCTGCCCATGGCAGAGGGGTTGGAGTGAGATGATCTTTAAGGTCCCTCCAACCCAAACCATTCCCTGATTCTAGTGGGTGCAAATGGACACAAGCACCCATCAGCTGCCAAAACCAGGGGGGTCACTCCCGAGCCCTCCCTGCAAGCAGAACCTTACAGTGCTGCCCAGGTGAGGATGCAGGAGCGATTCCCTTGTGGATAGCAGGGTTTGTGCTTTGCCCAGTGGCTGTGGGACCCCACGGTGCACGTGGTGTGTGAAGGTAATGGGCCCTCATGGGGATGTGGGAATCTTGAGGAGACCAGTGGGTGTTTGGGAGCCCCTGGGGTTTTTTCAGGTTGTGCAGGTGACTGGACTCGGGTTTGCCTGGGAGCAGAGTGAATGGAGGCTCTGCACCCACCGAGGTGGATTCAGGAGGATGGCTTGGAGCAGCTGAGCATCAGCTTTGGAGTTCTTTCCTAGAGCACTGCAGGCTGTAAAGTGCAGCTGATTAAGAGGAAATGTGGTCTGAAAGTTATGGTCCCCAGTGGGGCTGTACTGGGTTTCTGGCAGGGCATTTTATGGGATGTGTCCTGGATTTGGAGAGGGCAGCTGCTGAGGAGTATTTTTTTAGGCAGGCTGAGTGCAGGAATAAATGCTGCTGGAGCCACTTGCAGCAGGGAAATGATGTTTCCAGGGCTGCTTACTTGGTGTTGGACTGAGAACAAGCTGCCTTGATGTGGGAATATGTGCAAAACAAGTTGCATTTTGGGGTACTGAGTGGAATGCTGGGCATAGGGGGAGAGATTACTCGTCAAAGCCCAAACCATTAATTAATCTTTTATTTTTGTCATTTTTTGCTACGTTACACTCCTTGTGCTGTTGATGAAAACCCACAGAGCTCCCTGCAGAAGAAGGTAAGTCATGGGCTGGAGGTGAGAGGACGTGCCTTGAGTGTGTGTGGAGGGTGCCGGGGACAAGGAAGGGGGAATCTTTGGGGTCTTTTAATCCTGGCTTTAATCCCAGAGAAAGCTGGGCTGACAGCAGAGTTTTTCTGTGGTGGCGAGGCTACCTCTGTGAGTAGAAATACAGGAGGATTTGGTTTCCGTAGTTAAAAACAGACATAGTAAAACCAGGGCTACGCCAGAAATGGAAGCCTTTAATATTAGAGGGAACCCCCCCACTGCAGGGCTGGATGTCCTCACCAGTGCCCATGGCCAAGGGGCACTGGAGCAGGCCTGAGGCAAGCAGGGAGTGGGTCCTGTGGGTCTTAGGGCCTCAGTGGTCTAAATTATCTGTCTTCTGGGGTTTCTTTCGAGCACTGACTGTGCTTGGCTTCGTGTTTTCCCACCAGGAAAGTCCCTCTGGGAGTTGGTGCTGGAGCAGTTTGAAGATCTCCTCGTCCGCATCCTTTTGATGGCAGCTTTTCTGTCCTTTGTAAGTACCCTGGGCTCGAGGTGGGCAACTTCCAGGGCACTTACAGTCCCAGGTGGCATCCAAACAGCAAAGGAACTGGGAGAATGTGCCTGTGGGATGAAGGAGATGCAGCAGCAGTGCAGTGGTTTCTTGGGCATAATGACAGTATCACTAAGTTTGCTTAAAGAGGGGACTGGAGGATTTTTCTCTAATGCTGATCCATCCAAAAGTGGTATAGAACAACTCCCCAGGCTTCTTTCTGTTCACCCAAGGCTGTTCCAGGCTGATGATTTGAGCCTGATTTGCAGTGCCCCAGTACTGAGCTGTCAGCTCAGTTTTGCCCACAGTCTACTTTGGGAGCAACTCTGTGTGAGGAGACGTTTCCCACTGAGCTGCTGGAGAATGACTGATTTTCTGAGGGCAGTCAGGCTGTTTGGCAGTGGGATGGCAAAGCTGAGACTCCTGTTCCCTCCTTTCAGATATGACTCACGGGTACATAAGGAGGGAGGCTGGTGGGATTTAAAACATTCTCAAAACAACATGCAGTGAGGTGAATGCAGATAAAGCAGGAGTGAAGCCCTGTGCCAGAGGTCCTTGTGCCAGTGTCCCTGCAGAGCAGAGAGGTGTTGCTGTGTTGACACAGCGCAGGTCCACGAGCAGTTAAATGCAGTGGAAATATTTATGTGTGTGCTTCATTCGTGTTATGGTATGAGGTCTCTGTGGGATGGAGAGGGGGCTCAGGGTGGTAGAATCCAGGAGGTCAGTCCCTGCTCTGCAGAGCTGCTCTTGCTGCATCCATTACTCAGGTGGCATCACTTGCCTTCTGCCCAGGAGGGGCTGCACTGCTGCCTGGTCTCCCCACTCGTCTGCTCATGGCCTTGGTGTCCTCGTGGGTGCACTACACAAAAATGGATGCTTTCCTGGTGCAAGCGCTCCTCCAGGCATTGCATGGCTGTTTGCTCCAGCCCTGCTTGTTTGATGCCTTAGGTTATCCCAGCAGAGGAGTGGAGGCACCTGAGTTAAGCACCAGCACTGGGATATGGCAATTCCACACTTTACCCAAGCCGTGTGGGTCTGGCCACCTCCAGGTTGTCTTCTCTCCAGCAAACAACACAATGTTGGCTCTTGTTTCCATTCTTAAAATGTTGGTCCTATTTGAACCCTGCTGTGCTCCTTCTCTTGCCACCAGATCCTGGCCTGGTTTGAGGAAGGAGAGGAGACCACGACGGCGTTTGTGGAGCCCATTGTCATCATTATGATCCTGATCGCCAACGCCGTGGTGGGCGTGTGGCAGGTAAGGCTCAGCCCCCTGGCAGCCCCAGCTCTCTGCTCCACAGGGCTGAGGTGCTTCATTCAGAGACCTGGTTGCTTCCTGCCATTGGATACTCATCTCCCAAAGGCTCAGTTTTCATGTTGGCCATGCTGCCCCTGCACAGGTGCTCAGTTGTTGGTTGCCTCTTGTCTTGTTCCTTCAGTCTTTCTTTGGCAACTTTTGCAGTTTGAAGCCTGTATTGCACTTACCCGGGGAAACACTGCTTGTGTCCTGGCCAGGGCCAAATGCATTTGCCAAGGAAAGCTTTTTGCCCCCTCCACCAGAAAGCCATGGTGGCTGCTGCCCCTCACCTCGCTGTGTCCCTCCTGGGGGATGAGCAAATGCCTCAGCCAGGGATGCTTCTCTCTTGTATGTATTCACTTTAAAGCCATTTATTTATCTGCAGCTTGATCTGAGGTGGGGTTGCTGGATGGGAAAAATACAGTTGGGTGGGATATGCTGCTTCTCAAACCAGGAATGAGAAAATCAAGCCCAAAGGGCCATGCACTGTCCAGGATCTGGTGTGATTTAAGCCAGTGGTGACCATTTTGCAGCAGCTGAAGAAGACACGGCCCTTGCCCCATCCACGGTGCAAGTGGATTCCAAACCTGGGGCTGGGGTTTGGGTGCTCCTGTCTTTGCACTGGGTGGGGAAGGAGCCTTCTGGCACCAGCAACTCCACCACCACCAGCTCTGCTCCTCTCTGCTTGCAGGAGAGAAACGCCGAGAGTGCCATCGAGGCCTTGAAGGAGTACGAGCCCGAGATGGGGAAGGTGATCCGGGCTGACCGCAGCGGGGTGCAGCGGATCCGCGCCCGGGACATTGTCCCCGGGGACATCGTGGAGGTGGCAGGTAGGGTGCCATCACCTCAGGGCACAGGGTCGGATGGGGAGGTGGTACTGGCTGGGCGGGCCCCAAAACTGAGGCTTATCGGTCTGTCAAGGCTTCGCCCTGAACATGGGGCAGTGGAGAACAGCAGAAAAGGCATAAAAGAAAAAAAAGGAGCGTACATTTCTGACGCAGGTTTGGTGTCTCGGGAGGGTTTCCCCGTTTTCTGGAAGAACTGGAAGAACTTTTAATTTTCCTCTCTCTGGAAGCGGCTCTTCCACACACGTCCCCGGCCGAGGCGTGGGTGAAGGGCTGGAGCTGGGTGCTCTGCCGTTCAGTGCTGTGTGGGAAGGCTTCCTTGGGAACTGGGGCTGCTTAACCAGGGAGGGCGAGAAGCAGAGAGGAACAGCTGTAGGGGGCTTTTGCCTCCCTGGTTGGATTTTACGCCCCAGCCCTTCTCTTGGGGTTGTTCATTCAGCAGAGGATTCCTGGGGATCTGCCGCCTGCCCCACCGGAGCCGAGGAGGATGCATTCCAATTATCCCATTTTGTTTGTTCCTTAAACGATGCCGTAAACCCCCAGAGCCACAAAACTAATCCTCTCCTTTCCTCCTCGTGGCCCTGCTGGTGGAAACATGCTGCAATCCCTCCTGCACCCAGCCAGCTCGCTGTTATTTATGTCTTCCAGTTGGGATTCAGCTGGAAGATGAACACAAAAATAATGCAGGGAGGATCAAGCGGAGGAGAGCCGGCCAGATCCTCAGCTGGGCAAGCTGGCAGTGCTCCCAAACCAGCTCCAGCAATGCACTCCAGCTGCTGACCTGGCCTTCAATTAAATTAATGAATTATTAATTAAATTCTGCCATCTTTCCCCAGATCAAGTGCACACAGCCTGCCCATCAGCAGCCCAATACTACTTTTTAATGGCACAATCAGCATCGCGACTGGGAGGGAAAGAGCTGAGCTCTCTGGAGGGGTTTGCAAATTATTAGCAAATTAATTAGCAAATTGTGGGTTGAGGAGCTTATGGCAAGTGGGGAGGATGCTGTCAGGTGCCCGATAGGAAAGCACACCTGGAGCAAAAGCTTTGAACGTGCGGTGGGCATCCAGGTGACACCCTGGGGACAGTGTGACAGCGCAGCAGGAGGGACTGGCTGCTGTTTGTTTGCATGTGCAAATGAAATAAATTTGGCAGCAGGGAGCAGGAAACCTGCTGTGTTAAGGCGGGGAGGGGAGGGTGTTTGGAAGTTGGCAGGCTGCTTAAACCCAGCTGGGTTTTGCCCTTTGGTAACAAGGCCGTGGAGGTGAGTCCTAGCGCAGGCAGCTTTTGCCTTTCCCAAAAAGTGCAGGCAGGGCATCACTGTGGGAGCTCCATTGGTTGCTGCACCCCATGCCTGCTCCTGCAGTGCTTGGGCAATGCCAGTGGCTGTGGCCACCTGTTTTCCTCTCTTTCCCTCGTTTTTTGGCGTGGGGGACACTTGCAGTGCTCAGGGGATCAGCCTGTGGGCAGTAGCTGGTAATGGCAGTGCCAGGTCCATACCAGGACATCTGCCCACCTCCTGGGATGCTACGTCTTCCCTGGAGCAGGTGCCACCCCCACGGCTCTGCTGTCCCTGGATGTTGCAGAGTCTTCCTCTGCAGGTTTAGCTCATGTTTGCAAACCCTCCTGCCTTTCCCAGGGAAAAAGCGGAGCTCTTTTCTCCCTTTAGCATGATCCAGCTCCCTTGAACAGATGCAAAGTCTGAGTCTGTGCATGAAGTGAGTATTTTGGGGGGGCTGTGGGTACCTGTGCTTAGCACCCCCCCAGCTCAGCCCCCCCACAAATCGGTGTGAGGAGGAGCAGGGCAGGTTTGGCCGGGTGGCAGATGTTGCACGTTGCATCCCGGAGCTCTGGGATCTGCAGCTGGAATAACTGGCTGGGTGGTGGAGCAGTGCCAGTCCCCTCCTGCTGCTCTGGGGGGGGGTTTACGAGCCCGAGGAGGAAGCACTTGTTAAAGTGTGGGATTTGGGAGGATTGTTAGCAGCCAAGCCAGCGGTGTTGTGTAAGTGGTGTGAGGGGCTGCGAGCCAGGGCTCGCTCAGCCTCAGTATTTCCGAAGTGTCGGAGCACTGGTTGTGTCCAGCCGATAACAGAGCAGGAGGAAGAGCCAGGAGGAAGAAACCCAGTGGGAAAAGCAGCTTTAAATTGGTTTTTTAAGGAAGCACTTGTGCCTCAGAGGGTGGTGTTGAGCGGCTGGCAGTGGATGGAGAGGCTTTCACCTGTGCCCACTGTGCCGTGCCAGGAGACACAGGGATGGCTGTTTGTCTTGGACACAGAAGATCTTCCACTGTCAACAGCTTCCAGTCAGCCCAGAGAACTCTGAAACAGGGTTAAAACTGGTATTTTAGGAAGCTTGGGCTGCTCCAGCATGGGGATATTTTGGGTTTTTTGCAGGGAAGAGGCAAGATGAGAGTGCAGGGGTAGTTTGCAGGGAAGAGGAGAGATGGGGTCGTGGAAGAGCAGGCGACACTGGGCAGCAGCCAGGTTCTGCCTGGGATTGGCTGGAGGAGGCTTATAAATTATAGACAGACAAAAATATGCTTTAATTAAGCTTTAAATGCAGAAAGGAGGTATCCTGGGACAGGACCCTGCTTTGCCAGGGGCTGGACGCCTCATTGCTGCAGGCTGGGTGCTGCCATGCACCTGCACATGGTGGGTCTCCATTTGGGGTTTGCTATCCCTGTTCCTGGGCTGGCAGGTGCTGCCAGTCCCACCTGATGGGGTTGCTCTGCTCTTGCCCTTGCAGTTGGTGACAAGGTGCCAGCGGACATCCGGGTCATCGAAATCCGTTCCACCACCCTGCGGGTCGACCAGTCCATCCTCACAGGTGCGTGTGGGCACGATGGAGCAGGGGCAGCTTCCTTCTGCCATCCTCCTGGAGGCAGCTTTTGGGACTGACAGTGGGATAAGTGTTTTGCTGGGGTGGGAAACGGGTGGGAGAGCAAGATTTAGATGCTGCTGGGACCTCTCCAGGCCCTCAAAGTCACAGCACAGGTGAGATGCGGCCAGTGCTTGGGCATCCCTCCTGCAAAACACAAAGCCTGGGGCTTTCCTGTGTGACACGTGGGGTTTGACATCCCCCTGAGGGATGTTTGGATGGTTTGGTGATGAAGTGCTGCTCTAGAATGCTGTGGGGGTTGTGATCCAGGCTTATACGGTGTTGAGTGGAGGCTGGAGAGGAAACACGGATGGTCCATCTGTCCCCTCTTGTCTCTGCAGGGGAGTCTGTGTCGGTGATCAAACATGCTGACCCCATCCCTGACCCTCGGGCTGTCAACCAGGACAAGAAGAACATGCTTTTCTCTGTAAGTCACTTACACTCATCCCCACCTCTCCCGTGGTTTTCAAGGTGAAGAGGCTGATGGACATGGGAGATGTCTGAGCAGTAAAAGGGAGTGCATGCATGAGAAAGACCTGAATTCATTAAAAGAGCCCCAAATCCATAAAAATAAGAACCTGCTTCATTAGAACTTCATTTGGGCTGTGGCACATGATGCCCTTAAATACTGTAGGCAATTAAAACAGGTTTTCTGTCAAGTAGGATGGATGAGAAAAAGGTTTGTGGTTGAGCCTGGAGCTATTGAAAGTTTGGGTTTCCTCCTTGCTCGTGCTCTTCTCAGGCAGAAGTCAAGTCCTCAAGGGGTGAGAGCTCTCAAGAGGGATCTCCTGCTCTTCAGGGTGGGTCTATATAAAACCCCAGAATGTCCCATTTTTTCCCTTAACCAAGATCTCATGTTCTCCTTTCACATCAAGTGACCCATTTCCCTGCTCAGGCTGAGAGGTTTCATTCCCACATATCCACTCCGGCCCTTTCCTTCCCTCCCAGGGCACCAACATCGCAGCTGGGAAGGCTGTGGGGGTCGTCATTGCAACGGGGGTGTACACCGAGATCGGGAAGATCCGAAACCAGATGGTGGAGACCGAGCCCGAGAAGACGCCCTTGCAGCAGAAGCTGGACGAGTTCAGCCAGCAGCTCTCCAAGGTGATCTTCCTGGTGTGCATCGCCGTCTGGGTCATCAACATCAGCCACTTCAGCGACCCCGTCCACGGCGGCTCCTGGTTCCGGGGGGCCATCTACTACTTCAAGATTTCGGTGGCACTGGCGGTGGCCGCCATTCCCGAGGGCCTCCCGGCCGTCATCACCACCTGCCTGGCGCTGGGCACGCGCCGCATGGCCAAGAAAAACGCCATCGTCCGGAGCCTGCCCTCGGTGGAGACCCTGGGCTGCACCTCCGTCATCTGCTCCGACAAGACCGGCACCCTCACCACCAACCAGATGTCCGTCTGCCGGGTGAGTGCCGGGGGCCTGCGGGGTTTGCAGGTGCAGTGGGGATGCTCTGAAGCCCCTGAGGACTCTGCGCTGCTCCGTCCCCATCCTGGGGTGACGGGCTTTGCTGCCCTTACCTGACTCGTGTCATGTTAGGAATGGGAAGGTGAGCAGGTTTATGGGAAGCCCCGAGGTTCCTCGCTGCATGGCCAGGGTCAGTCAGGATCAGGGCTTCTCTTGGTGTGGTGGCAATTAGAAAACCTGATTTCTGTCAGCACACCGGTGTAGAGGTGCCGTGTTGCAGGGTTATTTCAGGGGTTCCTCTCCATGGAGCGTTTCCTCCTGCTGGAATGTGGTGTTGAGACAGACACCTGGAGATGCCAGTGCAGTCAGTCTCCTCTTCTTCTCTTGCTCTTTCCTCCCCTGTTTTTTAAGCAAACCAGTGAGAAATCCTGGGCCATGCAAAATTACAAAGCCAGGATGCAGGAAAAGCATTTCTGATGGAGGGAGCCCTGGGGTGGTTTGGTGAAGAGAGTGAAAGCTCCGGATCTGCCTGAGAGCTTTGCTCCCATGTGCCTGACTGGGTGGAGAGGTGACTTGTTAGGAAAGCCTGGACCATCTGAGTATTTCTCAGTTTCCCCATTAATCCACAAGTGTCAGGAAATCTTTTTTCATGGCCTTGGCGTGCCGGTTTTATTGGAGAAACTTGGAAAATGTGTTGCTGTGGGAAAAAACGGACCTGGCCACCGTCCCTCCTCTCTGACACTCGGGTAGCCTGGTGGGAAGCTGTGACAGTGCTGCAAGCTGGCCATGGGCTTTGGCCACTGGTTTGCTCAGCACAAACTCCAAATGACTGGAAATGTCTGGTATTTCTGCCCTGTAAGTGATTTGGAACGAGACAGGGCTGGAACGAGGCGGTGACCAAGCTGCCCATGTCTTGCAGAAGGAGGAGGCTCCCACCAGCCCCATTTTCTGACCCAGTGATTCATGGAAGCAAGGAAAGGGTGACCCTAGTGCTTGGAGTCCCTTTAGCTCTGCAGACTGCAGAAGAAGGGGGAGGAGTGACCATTCCTTCCCAAACCAGAGGGTCTGTTCCTTGAACTCGGGAAGAAGTGCCATCACCCCCCTCAATGTGGCAGAGTTGGGAGAGGCAGGGTTGGTGATGCTGAGACAGGGAGAGGGAGTGGCACACAAGGGTTTTGGCATCAGTCATTATTTGCAGAATGAACTTAGCAACTTTGCAAAAAAGAAAAAAAATCAGTTAAAAAATACAATGTACCCTCTACCCCATCTCCTCACAGCCCTTTTCTGATATCTGTGCCATTCACTTGGCTGAGTCCTGCCTCCCAGGGAATGATATTGTGATCCAGGCTTGCCTCAGGACACACAGCCAGGGCTATTAATGTTTAATGGACGGGGATTCCCGTGCTGACGTGGGCAGGACAAGGCTGTGGGTAAATATTTGTGCTGGGCGGCCGTGGGCATGTCCAGGACACTCTCCTGGGCCCAGCGTCTGGCTCAGGGGGTGAAACAGCCACCAAAGCCCGTCAATAACCCGGAAACTGTGTTAATTGAGTGTGATTTAATGAACTTGCACGTTAATTTGGGTGAGCACAGCCGCTCGGCTGCAGGGTGTGCTGCAGGGTGGTGCCTGCCACTGCTGGCATCAGGTCTGTGGAGCTCTAAAGTGACTCTTGAGAGGCTTCAGATCTGTTTTCAAACTCTCAGCTGGTTTTTAAGGGCTGTGCTGTACCTCTGGGTCCCTCTCAGTGCTGTCTGAACCAACAGGACACACGTGGATCCCTGGTGGTCAGCAGGGGTGAATCTGTGCCCCTCGGTGTCCCCCCACGTGAGGTGCTTTGTGCAAGGGGCCTTGTCTGGGGTGGCCAAGACTTTGGTGCTTTTGCTCTGGCTTCGAGTCCACTCGAGTTAACAGCCCTGCAGTAACAAAGCCATAAACCCACTCAGTAAATCAGGTTAAACCTGTGGCTCATGTCAGTCACTGTACGGTGAACTGAGGGTCTCTGAGACCACCACCTCCCCCAGCCCAGGGTGTGGAGGAGCCAGGAACAGCCTTCTCCCAGCCTTTAAATAACCACGAAGCTGGCAGGGGGAGAAGCATCTCAGCTCTGCTCTTACATGTTTGGCTGTCTCTGAGGTGGCTGCTGGTGTTTTGGGGAACGAGCAGAAAGGGGTTTATTTTCCATAAGGCTTTCAGCGGAGCCTGGACATGCAAACTCCCATCCCTGGCACAGCCACCCAGGAGCTGGGCAGGCACAATTTGCTTTGCCCTCTCCAGGGCACTGTGCCTTGGCTCAGCAGTTTTGTCTGTCTAAACCAGTCATTAATTACTGGGAGACCTGGCTGGTGGTCCCAGGGGCTGTACCAGTTGCTGGTTGGTGCTACGGCTGGGGCTGCTTCCAGCAAAGGAGGAAAATGCTGCTGATCCATGGGCTGATTGATGGAGTAGTGCCTGATGATTACAGCCTCTTACAATTCCAGAGAGCAATCCTGCCTTGTGTGCCTCTTGATGAGCAGTTCTTTTAAAGATTGTGCAGAAAAGACAGAGCAGTGGAGCTGTGTCCTTCTCACCTGCCTTCCCCACAGGCCCACAGCTGATGCCATGTGCTGCTCCAGGGGTGGTGCATCCCCAGGTGGCCTTTGCTTCCCACAAATACACACTGGCATCATCCAGTTGTGTGATACAGCGCTGGGGCCAGGCAGGATCCATGGGACAGGAGAGAAGGAGTGATGGCTGGAAGTCTTTTGGGGCAGGGTGCACTCTTCATGAGGAGTGACATTTTTCTTCCAGCCTCTCTGTTGTATTAAGACCTTAGATCACTGGTGTGGTTTTAAAAGGTTCAGGGCAGGGGGACGCCCTGGGGTGCTGCTGAATGGGTTCCCCCTCTTGAATGCTGCAGCTGTGGCAGTGCAAGAGACCAGGCAGCCCCTCTGGGAGCATCATTTGCAGCAGCCCCCCCCAGCTGAGCTGCACCCACGCACCTTTCCCACCTCTTTCTGTTGCTCCTAATATTATTTATATTATTTTTGTGATGGAAACATTACCTCTCCTCTTAACTGCTTAAGACACAGCTATTTCCTCTGGGCTGTTTCCACTGCCCACAGAGCTGCCCACTCCTCAGCCTGGAAATCTGCTGGAACACCGACAGGCTGAGAGAGCTGGGGTTGTTCGACCTGGAGAGGGGAAGGGTCTGGGAGACCCTTAGGGATCCTTCAGTGCCTAAAGGGGCTCCAAGAGAGCTGGAGAGGGACTTTGCACAAGGGCCTGGAGGGACAGGACAAGGGAGAATGGTGTTAAGCTGAAGGAAGGGAGATTTAGATTAGATATGAGGAAGAAATTCTCCCCTGTGAGGGTGGGGAGGCCCTGGCACAGGTTGCCCAGAGAAGCTGTGGCTGCCCCATCCCTGCAAGTGTCCAAGGCCAGGTTGGATGGGGCTTGGAGCAACCTGGGCTGGTGGAAGGTGTCTCTGCCCGTGGCAGGGGAGTGGAACAGGATGATCTTTAGGTCCCTTCCAACCCACAGCATTCCATGATTCTCTGATCACACTGAAACCCTGCAGACACCTTTGCAGTGCCCCGTCCACCCCCACGCTCAGCCAGTCACGCAAGCTGGGAGCAGGCAGGAAATTTGATATAACCTCTGGTTGCTGTGGGTTACACGGCACCTTTTTTAAATGGGCATGGAAAAATAAAGGGCTTGGAATGATTTTGGTTTTTTTTTATTTTCCCTTTTCCCTTTTCTAATAAGAAAGTCGCTATTGTGAATGTAATAATTGTTTTGTGGCCGTGAGCATTTGGAAACAAACAGCCCCATATCAGGCAAAACCATCAGTGGCTGGGGTGGTGCTTTCAGATATTTTAATGAATGAGTCTGGTTGTTGTTTCTGAGGGCAGGAGTCCACTTTATGAAGAGGTTGGGAGATTTTGGCTCTCTGGAAGGCCGATGGCATTGGATGTGTCAAAAGAGCTGAAGGATGCTCAGCCTTCAGAGGTCTCTTTTGGTGTTGTCTCAGACTGAGTGTCCCACCTCACCTGGGGTTCTGGAGTCTCTCATCTCAGGGAGGTTGTCCAAAGGAGACTCTCTTTATCAAGGTCCTTCACACTTCAGTGTTTGCACCCACTGCCAGAGGAGCCCAGTGGGACATCTCTTCTGCAGCCCTTTGGCTCATGATTTTCTTCAAAACCTTCCAAGGATGCTGAGGGGCCTCCAGGATGGGCTCTGAGAAAGGAGCTGAGGGCCATAGCCCAGCAATCAGGGTATCTACAAATATCTGGGAAGCTGTTTTGTGCTTTGGGAAGGTTGGTTTTTAGGCTCAGAATTATTCCCACGGGAGATGTATGCTTTGAACCTGCTCTTTTGATTTGCCCAAACATGTAAAATATGGGGGTGAGAAAACCCACTGAGATGTCCTGGTGCTAAACATGCCCTGAATGTGCTTCCCTGAACATGACCTTTATCGCTTGGCTTGGCCCTAAGCTTGTGCCTTCTGCATGGGGAAGGCTCACACCCACCAGCCAGTGCAGCTGCACTGATAAGGTGTCCTTTTATTATTAACAATAATTAATAATAACAGTAAATTAATCTGTTTGTTGCCAGAGGAAGTGTGGAGGGGAGAGAAGTGGGTGGTACCAGGAGTTGATGCATCTCTGGTGCTGAGCTTTGCCTCCTGATTCCTTCAGCATCTACTGCTTCCCTCTCCTGGGGAACATCTCAAATAACCAGAGGAAAATTAACAGGGAAAGGAAGAATTATTTTGAGGCAGGGAGTAGGGGGACAGTTGTCCTTGCACCCACTTTCTGGAGCCGCCAAGCAAGTTCACGGAGCCGAGGAGAGCATCATTCCCTGCAGCCACCCTCCCTCCTGCCTGCTCCCTGCAGCCAGGGCAGTGCCTTTGCCAAACCAGATTTATTTGTTCATTGTTACTTTTTGGCTTCAGTGTGGGTCATAAATAATGAAGAGCAGAAACAAGCATTGCTGAACTGTCACCTTGGCTGGGGTCGGGCACTGCTCCTGCTTCCAAGGGAGGCTGCCCTGAAAGGTGGGAGGGGATGAGGGGGAACTGGGAGAGCTTGGGGAGAGGGGAATTTTTATTGTATTTTAAGGTTTGGCGGGGTCGTTGCTCTCATTGTAGCAGCAAGAGAGAAACTGGAAGGAGTTTGAAAGGCAAAAATCGCTAAAAATAGAGCATGTAGGACTTTTACAGCTCACTGGGCTGAGCTGTGACCCCAGTAGGGCACAAGACTGGTGGCTGAGAGCTGGCTGGGAAGGGGTGGCAGGGACAGCTGCTGAGATCCTGCCCCACAGAGGCTTTCCAGGGCAGCCAGGGCAGGAGTGGAAACCTGGTCCCAGGTCCTTCTCTGCTCCAAGAAAAACACAGGCAACTTCTTAGGAGCGGGCTCAGCATCACTCCTCTCTGATGGAAAAGAAGAGCTGGAGGAGGCAAACATGAAAAAGTCAGGGGAGAGCTGGAAGGGTCTGGGGGCAGCCAGGAGTGGTGGGTGACCAGGGAGGGGGCTGAGCTCGGTGCCAGCGGGGCCAGCGCTGGCACGGCACCAGCTGGTGGGTTTCCAGGCTGAGCATGTTGGTTATAGCAAAATGTTGCTGCCTAATGCTCTGTCTCCACCTCTCTCCCTTGCAGATGTTCATCATGGAGAAGGTGGAGGGCAACCAGTGCAGCCTGCACGAGTTCAGCATCACCGGCTCCACCTACGCTCCCGAGGGACAGATGTGAGTGAGGGTCCCCTCTGCTTCAGGGGTGACACGAGGTGGCCCTGGGCTGGCAGCACAGCTGGGGGGAGGTGGGAGGGTCGAGCTCATGGCCATGGCTGGGGAGAAGGGGGGATTTTCTGTGGTGGTTTGCAGCCCTCCTGAACCCTGTCCATGAGAATACCTATTGGGCGCTGGTTTTTGGCCACACTGGGCTTCCAGTCAGGTGACTGGCTACTTTTTACTGTCCATGGGGGCCAGGGCAGTTGTTTCACTGTCCCTTGTCTCTGGCTCCTGCCTGACACGATGTGGGGGCTCTGCCTGTGCCCTCCCACTGCTCAGCGAAGGGGCTCCCTCGTGCTTGGCTCTCCCTTCATTAACAATCCCGATAAAACAAGCCCACTTGTGGACCAGAGAAGATGGCAAGTGTGGGAACAGTGATGAACGAGGCTCTTTACGGTACATCATGGCTCTCCAAATTTCTGGAGCCTGCACATTTTTGGTGTTGACCAGCAACTCTTGTTCTCACCCCAAGCACGGCGCGGGGCCGGCAGCTTGTCCTGAAACCACTGGCAATGTGCAAAGGGACTTGCAAACGGCTGAAAACCCCACCAGGAAGGTGCTCCCTGAGCCCTGTGTCCTGTGCAGGGATGGCTCCCATGGCTGCTGTGCCCAGGGCATGATCCTGCTGATGGCAGAATGTGTTCTGGGGGAGACATGGGCTCTGCAGAGCTGCAGCTCAGGGCAGGGAGTGGAAGCCAGGGGCTTTGCCCTGCTGTGTTATCACACACATGAGGTTTCCTGCCCTTGTATTTGTTTATTCCCTCTCCTTTGAGAGGAGGTGATGCTCCCCAGTGTGGGGGAAGTCTGGGAAGGAGGAAGATGAGAAGCTCAGCTGGTGGTGGGAGCATTCTCCACGCCCCTTTGCTCTGTGATTCCAGACACATTCTTCACCACGGTCCCTTCTGCCCATCTGTGGAGCAAATATAATTCATCCCAGCCTCAGACTTAATTTCATGAATATTTATAGAGCCAATTTGATCCTTGGCTGGGAATCTCCATTAAAAAGTGAGCCAGGTCATAAGCTGGTGTCAATCAGTGCATTTCAATTAAAATTAAGGAGGATTAAGGGGCTGAACTTGTGTCTGCCAACCTCTGAATTTCAGTGTCCCCTCTCCTCTGGGGACTGCCTGCAGGGACGCTGTGTTGGTCTGCGGCAATTCATGTTGCTTCTGAGTTTTGCTTCAGCCCTGTGCCTGTCTTGTGTATTGAGAGGGGTGTGAGGGCTCACTGAGGTGTAGTGGAGGGTCCCACCAAGAGCTGGTGGCACTGAAATGCTTGTTCAGCCTCGGCCTGGCCTTGGCAGAGGGCTGCTGGACCTTGCTCACATCCCTCACAGCACCCAGACAGCAGCACCTTTGCTGATGTTTTTCCCAGCAGGATCCCCCAGGCAGGAAGCAGTGGCTTTCCCTTCCCACTCACAGCCCAGTGCGGCTTCTTGTCCCTCAGCAAACAGATTTTTCAGATTTTCTTGGCTGCTCCCTGTTTTCCGCTCCTGAGCTGTAACAAGGGCTCCAAAATGTTCTTTCCATTGGGAACCAGCAGTGGAATAAACTGATCCTAGTAAATGCCTGACAAATTATTTTTCCAGCAAGCAGATGACCGGCTGGGTTTATACAGCTCTAACCTGCAGTTACCTCTCCTGGAACCGGGATAATTTTTTATTTCCTTTGAAAGCCACTGCTGCCATTCCTGCCACCAGGCAAGGAGCAGTATCTGGCTTGCCTGGAGTGTTCGGGGCTGCTCCTTTCCAGGATGTTTGTGCTCCTTTCCATAGCAAAGAGCTGCTATTTAGGAAACAAAGGCCACAGTTCACCACTGGCTTGGAAGCAGCCACAGCAGTGCAGTTAAAGTTGTCTGCTGCTCTTAAATGCTCCCTTGGGTTCCCTAAGGAGTGCAAAGCAGCACTGCAGGGAGGAGAAGGGCTTGCTGCTGGTTCCACAGCTTCTCTGGATCCTCAGCAAATGGAAACCCCTGAGGAGCAGCCATTAATATGAATTTCCTTCCCCCTTTTCTGGCCCATCACTTCATCATCAGCCTGTTGGCAGCCCCTGTTTGCAGGTCCAGTGCTCCTTTGAACTCCTCTGCAGCCCCCTTTATTCTGGGCCACTTCCAGAGTTTATTTGCCTCCTGGGATGTTTTATTTGCAATTTAGCCCTGTCCTGTTGCATAAAGCACACACTGTGAACCCAAGAGTTCATTGCCAACCCTGGGGCTTTAACGGGGCTCTTTCTCCCACTTGTACAAGAGTGATATATAGGATACACATCCCCCTACAAGGAGTATAGGATAAACTAAGTGTTGTTAGAAGGTTACTTGAGCTGATGTGAGGCTGTGGGGGGTGTTTTCTGCCCACAGCCTGAAGGATGAGCAGCCAGTGCAGTGCGGGCAGTACGACGGGCTGGTGGAGCTGGCCACCATCTGTGCCCTCTGCAACGACTCCTCGCTGGACTACAATGAGGTACAGGGGCTCCAGGGCAGGGGCAGGGCAGGGGGGATGCTCTTCCCTGTGCTTTGGGACAGAGCCAGCAGAGGTTTGTCCCTTGGGATTCCCTTCCCTGACTTCAGCTCATCTCAAGGTGGTGCTCTGGTGCAGTGGGTGACAGCATGCTCGGCTGGAGCAGCAGGTGGAAGACAGGCTCTAAAGCTTAAGCTCCTTTTTTTCCCCCCTGTCCTCTAGTCCAAAAAAGTCTATGAGAAGGTGGGGGAAGCCACTGAAACAGCCCTGACGTGCCTGGTGGAGAAGATGAACGTGTTCAACACGGACCTCAGCAAACTCTCCAAGGTGGAGAGAGCCAACGCCTGCAATTCGGTGAGTGGGGGAGGCCCCTGCGAGCTCTGGCACGGGGGGTTAGGAGGGAGAGGAGGTCTTTGGGATGGCTGTTGTTGGAGGAATAACCACTTGCAGTGACCTAAGGGATGGATCTGGCACAAGGATGCAATTTCCTGGCTCGCAGGGTGAGAGCTGGTTTTGGAACAGAGGGTGCCATGGCCTGGGGAGGTGGGTGCTGGGGCCGTGGGGGCTGACCTGGGTCCACATGGAGCTGTGAAGCAGGTGATCCCTGAGTCTCAGACTCAGCCCTGTCCCCACTCAGCTGGGAGACACTCCCTCGGTGTCAGCCAGAATTCCAGCTGCAGATGGGGAAGTTTGGAGTTATCTTTAGGTGCCCAGTTTGCCTGAGCAGCTGCCCTCCAGCATGAACCAAACCCCATTCCCCAAAGCCATGCTTGTCCGAGTGGCACTTGGAAATGTCTGTTTTTAATGTGAAATTATCCCATGCTGGCAATTCCCCTACTCAGCTCTCCAGTGTTTCCCTGTCTTCCTGGTGAAAATACACTTTATTTCAGATCTGCATTTACTCAGCTTTGATATCATGCTGTTATATCTTATAATGTCTCAAAGCTGCTCGAAGCTGCTCTCTGTTCTGGCATTTCTTCCCCAGATAGGTCTGAGCAGGTCATAATAAATCCCTTTTTGTGCTGTCCCATCCCCTTCTGGCTCCTGGGGCTGTCTTTCTCCTCACATCAGTCGTGCTGTGCTGGCTCAGCAGGGCTGTCAGCCGAGGTGGAGAGCACCGGTGTCCCTGTCATGTCCCTGTCGTGTCCTGGCTTAGCCCAGCACTGTCCCCACAGGTGATCAAGCAGCTGATGAGGAAGGAGTGCACCCTCGAGTTCTCCCGTGACCGCAAGTCCATGTCTGTGTACTGCACACCCACCAGCCCTGGCAACAACTCCACTGGCAGCAAGATGTTTGTCAAGGTAGGGGAGAAGGTCCTCAGCACCCCACAGTGTCCTCTTGGCACATCCCAGCAGGATTTGGCCCTCACTGCAATGGGCAGGGATGCTTTGCTGTTCCTTCCTCCCCTTTTACCTGTCTGGGGGTCCAGGATCCAGCAGGTAGGCTGGTAGGGTCAGGGAGGAGGTGAGTCTTTGCCATCTTGATAGGCAGAAAAGGAGGTAAAATTATTTAGATGGCGGAGAAGGTGCTGAGTGTGCTGGTGCTGGGGCAGGGGAGAGCTGCCCCTGTGCAGAATTTGGGCACTTGCCTTTATTAAAGGCCTGGACCCTCCGGATACCAGTAATGTCCAAAGGTTACAGCTTTCCACTGTAACCAGAAATAAAATAGTGTTTCAAAGGGCATTTTCTTCCCAAGAGAAGAGATGTGGCAGGAATTTCCCCCCGCTGACTCTGAGAAGATTTGTATATTATTGTTCCCAGTGGGAGATGATCTGGGTGGGTGAAGTCTGTCCTCCAGGTCAGGCTGGGACCCTCCAAAGCCACCAGATCTGTAGCCTTGGGCGAGCTTTTCAAGAGGTACAATAGAAAGATTGCAAGTTTTACATTAAAAAGCAATGTCAGGGTAATTTGTAAGGTCAGAAGGGCTGGGGTGAGATGCTGGGATGCTGAAGGACATGTTTTCCTGAGTCACAAAAGCATTACAAGCATCTGCTGAACATCCCACGCTTTTTTCCATCAGACATTTACAGCCCTCATCCCCTCCAGATCTGCGAGGGATCTGGGGGGTGGGAGTATCTCGGACAGACCTGTAGGTTTTACGGGAGTCAGCTGGATCCCCTGCAGAGCAGATCCTGCTCTCGGTGACCTGCTGCGGGCGCGATCCCGGTGCTCTCGGTCGGAGGCTGCCATCTAGTGCACTGAGCCGCAGGGCCGGGATGTGCCTGCTGGAGTTTTGGGGATGCTTCCTCCTCCTTTGCCCGAACTTGGTGCCTTCCCTCCCTGTGGCACTCCCCGCGGTGCTGGCAGGAGATGCTCATCCTCCGGGTTCCTTCCAGCCCCTAAACCCTCCATCCTCCCCAGGGCGCCCCGGAAAGTGTGATCGAGCGCTGCACCCACGTCCGTGTGGGCACTGCCAAGGTCCCGCTGACGGCCCCGGTGCGGGAGAAGATCCTGGGCAGGATCCGGGACTGGGGCATGGGCATCGACACGCTGCGGTGCCTGGCCCTGGCCACGCACGACTCGCCCGCCCGCAGGGAGACCATGCAGCTGCACGACTCCGCCGCCTTCGTCCACTACGAGGTACGGCCCCGGGGGCTCTGTCCAGGGGCTTTTTCTCCTTATTCCCAAGGTTTTCCCACATGCTTCCAACTGACCCAGCAGTATTTTCTCTTTGGTTTCTCTGTGGGCAGTGAAATGGCTCAACTCCCCTGCAAACCTGGGGGGGTCAGTCCTAAGGATAACAGCCCCATGTTGCTGGGCATCCATCCCTGTGGGGTGACTGCTGAGAGGGGCTTGGGGACCAGTGAGAGGGATGGGGAGGAGGGGAGTGAAGCAAAAAGGTGTGAGGAGCAGCAGAGGGAATGGGAGTATCCCATTGTGCTGGAGATGTAGAATGCATCCATGGGGCTGTGGGGAGGAAACCTCCTGAAAGGTTCCTCCCAGGGAAAAGCCCCGTGCTCAGGGTGGTTTCACAGTGGGGTTAATACGGGTCTGGGATACATCCTCCCCTCCCAGAACAACCTGACCTTCGTGGGCTGCGTGGGGATGCTGGACCCTCCCCGCAAGGAGGTCACCTCGTCCATCGAGATGTGCCGCAAGGCCGGCATCCGCGTCATCATGATCACCGGCGACAACAAGGGCACGGCCGTGGCCATCTGCCGCCGGATCGGCATCTTCTCGGAGACCGAGGACGTGTCTGGCAAAGCCTACACGGGCCGGGAGTTCGACGAGCTGTCCCCCGAGGCGCAGCGCCAGGCGTGCCGCCACGCCCGCTGCTTCGCCCGCGTGGAGCCCGCGCACAAGTCCCGCATCGTCGAGTACCTCCAGTCCTTCAACGAGATCACCGCCATGGTGAGCCCCCTGGGAGCACCCTGTTCCCCTCCTCTCTGCCCGGCTCGGTCCCTTACACCCTGCTAATCACGGCTTCGTGCAGACGGGTGACGGGGTGAACGACGCCCCGGCCCTGAAGAAAGCGGAGATTGGCATCGCCATGGGGTCGGGCACGGCCGTGGCCAAGTCGGCTGCTGAGATGGTGCTCTCCGACGACAACTTCTCCACCATCGTGTCGGCCGTTGAGGAGGGCAGAGCCATCTACAACAACATGAAGCAGTTCATCCGCTATCTCATCTCCTCCAACGTCGGGGAGGTCGTTTGGTGAGAGCCCCCCACGCTGGGCACCGTGCTGGGGGGAGCGGTGGGGGGGGGACACATCCCCTGGGGCAGGTGACCTGCAGTCCTGTCCGTGCCCCTTGATCCTGGCAGCGTGTGGTGTCCACATTGGCATCCCGAGCCACCCAACAGAGCAGCAGTGCCTGCTCTTGTTCCCCCGGGGCGGGGGATTTTTGGTTTATAATTTTACATTCCTGCCATCCCCTATGACCTGTTTTGTTAATTAATTGCCTATTTAAGCCTATGCCAATGCCTAAGAGAGATGCAGATATTTGTTGACACCAGATCACACTGGTGCCCTTTGCATCAGGTCCTGGGCAGCTCTCCCTGCCCCTGTCCCTACCCATCCCTCCCAGTAAATCAACACTGTCCTCAGCAACATGAGCATCACTTGGGCATCCTTTGCCCTTTTGCATTTCAGCAGGGTGTTTGTGCTGGGAACAGGAACCTGCATGGCCATGGAGACATCAGTGGTTGGGTTTCAACCGCAAAGCAAATTTTAATAGCAGCAGGAACAAATTTTAGCTGCAGAATTCAGTGCTGGACTTCAGATTCCTGATCAGGGGCTCTGCAGGTTCACCTGCAGGACTTCGGGTGAATTTTCAGTTTGGGGGTTTGGATCCAGGGTGTCTGCTCACTCTCCCCTTGCACGACACAAACCCTTTCTCTGGCTGCCCAGAGCTTGTTTGGCAAAGAGAGATAATTTGGCATCTCTGCTTTTCCCCCACAGCATCTTCCTGACAGCCATCCTGGGCTTGCCCGAGGCCCTCATCCCTGTGCAGCTGCTGTGGGTGAACCTGGTGACGGACGGGCTGCCGGCCACCGCGCTGGGCTTCAACCCCCCCGACCTGGACATCATGGAGAAGCAGCCCCGCAACCCCAAGGAGCCCCTCATCAGTGGCTGGCTCTTCTTCCGCTACCTGGCCGTCGGAGGTGAGTCCCGCGGGCAGAGCTGAGGATGGGCACGGGGTGCCATGGGTTGGAGGGGGTTTCCTTTTGGGTGCTGGGGGTAAGGGTGTCTCTCTCGGCCGCAGTGTACGTGGGCCTGGCCACGGTGGGAGCAGCGACCTGGTGGTTCCTGTACGACGCCGAGGGACCACAGGTCTCCTTCCATCAGCTGGTGAGTCGGGAGGGGAACGGGCTGACGTGTTGACTGATGGGCAAGGGCATGGATTCAAGTGTTGGGGTGTTTTCCTCTACCTTTCCTCTGTGGTGGTTATAGTGTTCCCGGATTCCTAGTGGAGAAGGCAATAATTTAAAACAGAAGCAAGTTCTCTCCCTCAGGCTCGTGTTTCCAGCCTTGCTTCTGCCAGTCACCAGCATGGTGGGGAAAACTTGATTCAAAGAAGCCGAAAGTAGCTCCTGTGCCTGATCCCACATGGAAAGGGATCTTTTGTCACATTACTGTAGGTCTGAACAGGGTGGTGGGAAGGTGGGTGTCATCCCAGCCCAATGGCACGTGCCATGGAAAATGTATTTTTGATGGAGATGTGTGTGCTCAAACACCTTCTTGACTGCACTTGGAAGTCTCAAAGCCACTCTCTGGCCATAACCCTAAAGCCCAATCACAGCAGGAGCTGGGTCACTTTAGACAGTTTGCTCAGTTGCCCTGAACTGTGGGATATTTAACAGCAACCCAGTTCATCGTGTGCCCCCCAACCAGTCGACTCTTCCTCCTCTCTCCTGCCTTTCCTGCTGCTCTGCTGTGTATTTACCAGCAGTTTCCTGTGCCGACAGAGGAACTTCATGAGGTGCACTGAGGACAACCCCATCTTTGAAGGAATCGACTGTGAGATCTTCGAGTCCCGATACCCAACCACGATGGCTCTGTCCGTGCTGGTGACAATCGAAATGTGCAACGCTCTGAACAGGTGAGGTGGCTGCAGGATTGCTCTGTGCCTGACTGAGTCTGTGCAGGGTCTCTTTGAGCATCTGTGGGTGGGCTGAGGGCTTTGCTTTGGCTCAGCAGAGCCATTCAGAGCATCTTCACAGGGGACCACTGTGTTTTCCATGATCAAACTCCTCCAAGGCAGTGTGCTGCTGCTGATAGCAGTGGAGGAAGGACTGAATCCACATCCATTAGTGGTTTGGTCATTAGTGATCAGTCCTAATCCATGAAAGCTGGTTGTGTTGAGCGTTCAGATGGAATTTGCAGCAAAGCCTGAAGCTGAGCAGTCTGGAATACAGGGATGCAGCATGTGGCCCTGCACGTTGGAGGAGTAATGGAGCTCCCAGCTTGGGCAGGTGTGGGGAGCAGGAGGTTGCTGGGGCTGACGCTGTCCCTTTGCCTTCCAGTGTCTCTGAGAACCAGTCGCTGCTGCGGATGCCACCGTGGCTCAACATCTGGCTGCTGGGGGCCATCATCATGTCCATGGCTCTGCACTTCCTCATCCTCTACGTCAAGCCCATGCCTGTGAGTGCCCTCTGCCACCTCTGCCCCCAGCCCAGGGGGCTCCTGTGGGGAAGGACATCCCTGGAGCAGTCTTTGGGCCTGGAAGCTTTTGGGATGCTTGTCCCTAAAAAGTGCCCTCAGGTCCAGGTCCTGTGACTTGCAAACCAGGAGTCACCCTGCCTTTGCCTAAGTCAGAAGCTCTCCTTATGGGCAGTGGAAAGGGGTGTAGGTATCTCCAGAAGGTGGTTCAGCCCCTTGTGGTGTCATCTCCTCCCTTTGCATTTCAAGGCTGGTGATGCCTCAGTCAGTGCCCAAGGGTGCTAAAGGTGAAGTGTGTCTCTGTGCCCAGGAGGTGACATTGTCCCTTGTCCCCTGCTGAGCACCCCTGAGCACACAAACACACAGTCCTAGCTTGTGCCTCACTTTCCCCAGCTGCAGGAGAGGTGAAGGACATAATCTTTGACTCATCTTGTCCAAGAGATGGGATCATGACGGACCTTGAAGTCCTGTTCTTTGGGCTGTCAGGATCCTCCCTCCTTGTGCCTGGGACAACCCTTTCTCAACCTTTGCCCTACAACAACAAAATATCCCACCTCCTTCCCTGCTGACGTGTCCAATCCTTTCCACCTTGCAGCTCATCTTCCAGGTGACCCCCCTGAGCTGGCCGCAGTGGGTGGTCGTGCTGAAGATCTCCCTGCCCGTGATCCTGCTGGATGAAGGACTCAAGTACCTTTCCCGCAACCACCTGGACGGTGAGCACGGGCTGCACCACCCTGGGCTGGGTTTGCTCCGTGGTGCTTTGCTCGGGGGTCGTGGTGGCTCTGGGGACACCTCGCTCACCTCCTCTGCTCGTGTGATGTCTGCACCTGCGTGTCCACCCTGCTCTGGAAAAGGGGCTTTTCTTCCTACTCCCTTCCTTCCTGGTGCCACACCTGGCAGAGCAGTTGGTGCTTACACCTGCTTGAAATGCTCCCTTTGGAGCTGGAGCACCAGGTAAACCTGCCAAGGATTGTTTATCCAGCTCCTCTCAAACCTCCAGGAACTGGATCCCTTCACTTACAGAGTAAAACAAATCAAATACTGGTTTCTAACAGGATCCCTTCCTTTTTTCTCTCAAGTTGTCCACCCCTCTCTGTCCATCCTTGCCTTGTCTTGGCTGCCTCTGTGCTAAGATCAACTGAGAGCTGAACACCTTATAAAGTGGTTTTAATGGGGTTGCCCTTGGCCAGCACCTCTCAGGATCTGGCCCGTGGCACAGACAGAGGAGAAGCAGCTCCCGTGACACCGGGGCAGAGATTCCCGTGTGCTCCTGGGCTCTGTGCTGTAAATCACAGCAGGATTTTAGGCAGCCCTCCAAAGAGATGATATCATCTTTCCTTTCATTTCTTGAAAAAAACCTCACTTACTATGGGGGATATCTTGGTGCTGAGTTAAACCCACAGGTTTTCCCAGCAGTGGCTGCGGGCCCAGGGCTGCCTGGTGGTGCTGTGCCTGCCATGGGCTGTCCCCTGTCCAGGAAAACATTTTTTGGGGTGTGCTTGCCCTGACAGTGATAGCAGGGAGAAGAAGGGCAGGAGAGACACTGTCCTTGCCTGGGGAAGCTCTGGGGGCAGATGAACAATCTGAGTGTGGGGACTGGATGTCCTTCCACAGCATCACCTTGCTCAAACCTTTTTTCACCCCTAAGGCAACCTGTGTCCTAGCAAACCCCTCCTTTTACCTTCACCCTGTAGTAATGATCCAGGAAAATTCTGCAAAGCCACTCTTGCCTTTCAGGGCTGAAGGCAGGTCTGGCCAGGCCTGTCAGGGAGGGATCTGGGCCTTTGTAACAGCTCTGTTTGGTTTCTCATGGAGCAGAACCCTGCAAAAAGCTGGAAATATGGGATGGGAAATTATTGCAAGCAAGAAATGATCCCAAACTGGCCGCCCTCCCCATCAGTGGGTCCTGGCGTGGTGGGGTGCTCATGTCAACCTTCCTTTCTGCCTTGAGCTGATGCATAAACACAGGGATTGCTTAGAGAAACAGAGGTGCAGGGGCTCCTGTTTTTACAGACCAGATAGAAATTGTTTCTAGCTTATTTTTATTTAATTGTTGTTTCTCTCACCAGACACCCAGGTCTGTTTTATCCCACAATTACAAGCCTATAGCAACAATCCATGGCGTGGCACCAGGCTGGGGTGTAGGAGAACTGTTTGATTCCTGGCTGTTTTGCATCCCATGCATGCCCTCGGTCTTCACTTCACCATCTGTGATCTGGGGATGAGTCTGTCTCTCTCCCACACTTCATATTTCTCCTTAAAGTCTCAGCAGTGTTGGAGGAAGGGCTTTTCTTTGGCTCTGCCTGCGCAGCTCTGAGCACAGCAAGGTTCCTGGTAGGCATGTGATCCTTCCAAGTGCCATCCTGCCAGCTCAGAGTGTTTCCTCCCAGCATGCCGGGTCCTCTGAGCTGCCCTCATCCCCACAGCCATGATGCTGCCGATGCTCACAGGTTGCTCTGTGTCTCACCCAGCCAGGGTTTCCCCTGCAGTTATTGAATCACAGCTGTGGGCCAAAATCACGCTTCAATCATCGGATTTGAAAGAAGTAATTGAAATTCTTCGTCTTCCTAATCCCTCTGGGCTTTGAAAAGCAGAGGGGAAAAAAAACCTCCAAAAGCCACTTTTATGTGTGGTCTTGTGATTTTTTTACCAGGCATTCTCAGGACAGTAAGACCCGAGTGGAGCGGGGAGCACCAGTTGAAAACCTGCAAGACTCCAGAGCAAGGGTTGGCTTCCTACATGTCTCATCCCTGAATGCAGTATCCCTGTGCTTCCTACAAAGTCTTGCTCGTGTGTGGTGGGGACCTGCTTGGAATGTGTCTGGGTGAACGTGGCTTAGAAAACTAGCCAATACCAGAGCCCAGGGACCCTGTACCCAGACAGGATCTCCTTTCCCACAGTGACCTCTGTGTTTTGCTTCAAAATAAGGTCTAAAAAGCCTGTGAAGTAGCTGTTTGATGGCACTTTTGGCCAGGGGCCAGGCTTGATCTCTGCAAGGCAGCACTTGGGGATGGTCTCCAGCGTGGGACCTTCTGAGGGATGGCCAAGGGTGTTCAGCTGAGGAATGCAAATGTATAGCTGTGAGCAGAATGTATATTCTGCTGATTCAGGTTTTGCGTGGAAAAGTTTCTCCTTTTGATGAGATTTAGATAAGTTGTTGTGTTTCCATTACGCTGGATTTTCCTTGTCCTTGAAGTGGCCAAAAGCTGAGACTCTTCAGTTTTCACGGTGGTCTCAGTGCTTTACATTCCTCTCCCCATCATCCTGGTCATGTCCAACCTTTCATCTCACATACTGTGCATGTCTGGCTGCCTTCTTCCCCTCCTGGCCCCCTCTGAGGTTTCTGCTGTCTCAGTTTTGAGAGGCAATGTGAGTGTGAGAGCAAGTGAATGTGCTGAGCTGGGTTGGCTTGGTGGGAGCTGCAGATGTTCTGGTCAGGAACGTGGAGATGGGCCCTCTCAGGGTCTGTCACACAGATACACACTGGCAGGCTCACAGGGGCTGACCACCCTCAAGTACCTCTTGCTCTGATATCTTTAATATTTTCCATGCTCTATGCACTGAAGTGTTTGTTCTTTCTGAATCCTGTGGCATGCAGGAGGATGGTTTCCGGGCATCCGTGCAAAGACCTTGCAGAAGTCCCTTTTCTGAGTGGTTCTCAAAAGGTATCAAACCTAGAGAGGACACTGAGATAACCCTGGTGCTCATGTAGCTCTCTGCACCCTCACCCCACTGCTGAGGCCACCCTGCTCCCCTCCTGCACCGTCCCTGGGCCTTCTCATCTTCAGCATCTTGAAGCAAACCCATCAGAGCTGGTGGAGTTGCCACTGTTGTTGTTTTCAGCACGTTAAGCAGCAGGCCCTGCCTGGGTGCTCGAGCATCACCATTTCTCACTTGTGCTGTGGCAAAAGCAGGGGCAAATCATGAAGCAGGTGCTTTCTGCAACACAACTACGCACCTGCCCTGACGGCAGCAGCATCACTGAAAATCAGGAGTTTTGATGCACAGGAATTGACTTGGGTGTGTTTTGTGGCAGATTGGCATTTATGTAGCCATTTGTCCTTGCACCCAGCGAGCACAGAAGCCCCTGGGGTGATTTTACAGGAGCTGCAAGTGATGACTGCCCTGCTTGGGTCTCTGTTCCCTCCCTGGTGGGCAGCACAGTGCCCCACAGCCTCCTGCTGCCGCAGCTGATGTGCAGCTGGGATTCGCACCCTTGGGTGAGCATCTCCATTGCCATGGGAGCTTTGGCCACTTCTCTGCCAAGCTGGCATCCCCTTTATGCTTCAGCATCCTCCCAGAGGAGAGTGGCTGGCAGAAGTGGCAGTGTGGTGACAAGTGCATCACACTCCCTGCCAGGCGTCTTGAGACAGCCCAAAATCTGCAGGGACCAAAATCTCCTTGTCCCATCGCAAAACCCACCAGCAGTAGTGAAATAGAGCTGCTCACCCTCATCTTCCTCTGTGCACCTGGGGATGAGGGAACCCCCCAGCACTCCCCCAGGAGCAGAGGGGCTGCTGCCTGCCCGTGTTCCCTGCGGAGGAGGCAGCATCCCTCTCCCTGGCACGGCAGAGCGGGGAAGGAGCGTCTGCAGCCGTGGCCTGCCCTTGTAGGGTAATCTCTGTGTGGAGCTACCTTGGCTGGGCGCTGGCAGAGGAATGTGTCCCCAGGGGCCAAGTCGCTCCCTTGAGCTGTGGGATGCTCTGCAGGAGAGCAGTGCTGCACCTTTCAGTGCTGGCATCTCCACACGGGATTTTCCAGCTCTGCTGCATTGCTCTTTGGTTTTATTTCCCCCTCTCTCCTGTTTTATTGTGTGTGTCGGTGTGTCATGCTTTAGAAATGGAAGAGCAGAGAGAAGCTGACAGCACTGCTGCCCTGGGATGGGAAAGGGATTTCCTTTTTGGTTTTCACCTGGGGTTTGGGCTCTTGGATGAAGCTTGGGGTGCCCTGGTGTGATGGATGAGACGTGCAGTTTTCAGAGCTACAAGGGCTGTGGTGTTTCCTTTGATGGAGGAAGTGATCCAGGCTGGCAGCTGGAGTCTGCATCCCTCCAGCAGCACCTTTTACAGGAACTTGTTAAGAGGAAAGTCAAAAGCAATAAGGAAAAACCTCCTCAAAAGCCTCGGCTGTGCTGGGAGAAGCAGATCTTGCAGAAGCTGAGCTCGTGTTGTTCAGCTGCCGGTTTGCAGGTGTTGAAGGGCTGTGACCCCCCCTGGGAGGTTTGGTGTGAGGCAAGATCCAGATGGATCATCACTGCTCCATCATTCATCATTCCTGCAAACAGGTCCTGCATTACCCCTGTTCCTGTCACCAGTGTGAGGGGAGGACAGAAGACACTGGCATGCAGGACCTGCATCCTCCTAAAGCTGAGTGAGAGCCAGACCCTCGGCTGTTGCAGGGCTCATGGAAACACCTGACTCGCTCTGTGCCAGGATTGGGTTATTTAGAGGCCTGAGAGCAGCATTTTGAAGAGCAAACACTGCAGCCATGTCCCTTCCCTGTGCCTGTCTGCCCCATGCCATGGCTTCCTCCCTGTTTGCACAACCACAGGGCAGTGTGTTTAGGGGAAGTGCCATGGCTGGTGAATAACCACTGGTGAGTCACCTGGTAGGGACTGTTCAGCTGCTGGAGATGCTGAAGGGACACCCCTTAAATGGGGAGGAGATGAATTTTGATTATTGCTCTGAGATTTAATACAGTGCAGTCACCAGCATCCCCACTGTGCACCAGAGCCCCCGGTGTGGGGGTTATCTGGAGGTGTGGGGGTTATCTGGAGGTGTGGGGGTTATCTGAGGGGATGCTGCCATTGCAACAAGCCATTTTATCTTGGGACAGCTGGGCTGGGCTCTCCAGCCAGCACTGCAAAAAGTTTTGGCAGAAGTTGCAAAAAGGCTTTTTCCCTCCCTCTCCCCTGTTATTTATTAATTCCCCTGGAAGCTTGTCGGCACCAGGGTTGGCAGCGGGCGCGGAGCTCGCGGGTAACCCCGGGCAGGACCCCTATTTATCAAGAGCACAGTAACAGCAGTCCCCTGTGAGATGTGTTTGGTGATATGTGCAGTGATGAAAGAGAGAGAAATGCAGCTGAAAGATTCCCGATAAGTGATTTCTTGGGAAGTGCTGCTTGTGGGTGGGTTTTTTTTAAGAAATAAAACCTGTTTCTGGGCAGAGTGAGCTGCCCTGGGCTGGAGGGCAGCTGCTGCCTCAGGGGGTCAGGGACACTCCTGTCAACTGCTTGAAAATTGAGGATCTGGTTGATGCGAGTCAAACTCTGGCAGAGATTTTGAGGCTGCTCACATGGAGTTCAAGCTGAATACTGTAGCTTTCCTTCAGGCCATGTGTTGCCTGTTACCTTCCCTGTCCTAGCCCATCCATCAGGAGGGGGGGAGAAGGGAGGAGGGCAGCCCTGGGGCTGGAACAGTGGCTGTGATGAGTAGATTGGTCCTTGCTCGTTGTTCTGGAGGTAAATATATGTGTATTGTGTGTAAGTGGTGTCAGCCCAAGGAGCAGCATCCACAGATCTGGCTGTGGCAGGGACGGCTGATGGGATGCAGTGACTTTCCTTTCTCTCTGAGTCACTGCCTTTCCAGGGTGATCCCTCATTAGGAGCAGTAGCAAGGCATCCTGCCTGCTCATCTTCCCACCATTCTTGTGCCTGTATGGCTCCACCTCACCCCTTTTCCTGCCTCCTGCAGGCTGTGTGTGCGGAGCCCTTCCTCACCCAGGGACCAGCATCCTCCTCCTCCTGACTCAACCTGAGCTGCCGTGGCTGCAGTAGGACCAACTCTGTGCAGACAGAATCCCAGGTCCCCTTTTGGGATCAACCAAGAGCAGCCACTCTTGATAACAAAAACAGGGAGCTGGTTTACTTTGAACCCTCACCAATACTTTTCCTTCTCTCTCTTTTTTTTTTTTTTTTTTGCTTCGTTTCAGGAGAAGAGGACAAGAAATGAATGACACAAAGGCAACATTCTGAACTAAAGGATCCCTAACTTGTAACTCGGACTGAAGTCTTGCATGTGTGACCATCACTAGAAGCCAGCAGGACATGCATGTGTCCGACTATCAGACAAATGCGGGTGAATCGTCGAAAAGAAAAATACTGATTTTGTTTTGTTTCGTAGCTTTCTTTTTCCTGTACATACGAGTGCAATTACTGGACAGCTGGCGTTGGGTTTGGGGATGGAGCTGTGTGGACCTGGGTCGTTGCAACGCGGTTCCTTGGGGATTTGCTCCTGCCAAATTTGAGATCCTCTTTCCAATTTTCGCCCTCGCCGGGTGAGCTCAGGCAGGGCATCCTCCACGAAGGGGGGCAGTCGGGATTTTGGGTGCAGATGGGAGGCTGCATCCCCCAAGGGGATGGGGTGAACGAGGGCAGCTTCTGGGGCCAGAAAGGGCTTGGCATTGGGTGAGGGCAGGGAGAGAGGTGAGGGGGTGGTGTGTTGGGGTCTCTGACCCTTGATGATTTCATCACTGCTGCTCTGCTGGCCACTCCAGTGGCCACAGCATCTGGGAATACCTTCAGAGTGTGCCCGACAGTGGTGTGGATCTCACAGACGTGTGTTTGTACATTGTGGTGGAAGGCAAAGTTCTCCCTATTTATCGTGCTGTCCTGTTTGATCCCTGCGTTGTGGAAAGCCCAGCACCTTCTCAGGCTCATCCAACACCAAAGCATGACGTAGCCTTGTCTGTCCTTCTCCATCCCACACCTTCTCACATCCCATCTGCACTATATGAAGCGCCCTCCTCCTCGTAGGGGCAGACATGTAAAGCAAAGCATGGGGACACCCACCTTGGCATTCCTCATGTCCACCACTCCCTCCTGGTCACACTTTCATCCCTCAGTGGATTTTTAACTACTTCCCTAGCAGGAGTAGAGCTTAAGTCTTCAGGAGCATGTCCATGACTTCGTGTCCTCTGCTTTGGAGAACACTGCTGTCTTGCACAGGGCATCCTTGCCAAGGGATCAAGATGGGAATGAATGTATGCTTGTACATAACGTGGTCTTTCTCCATGGGTGGTGTTTGTTGTGGCATCCCTTTTTGTAAGGCACCAAGTTTATTTTGCCCTCTTGGGATTTTTCCGCAGCAGGAGCGAGACAGGCTGCAGTGAGGGTTGGTAGATCAGGAGTGGGTTTGGGATCCAGTGAATTGCTCTGTCTCCATCAAACCACATCAGCTGAGAAGCTGAGAGTGGGTGGTTTCTTCTCCTGCTCTCCAAATCCTCCCTCCTGTTTTCCTCATGGTCCCCTATGATCCATCCTGATAATATTTAACTAGCCAGAGCCTTTCCTTTCTCTTACATTCCAGCAGCAGCACTAGAGCCAGGGTTTGGGGTAGCATTTTGCTCCTTCGCTGTTGGGTTTTTTCTTCTACTTTTTGCCTCTTAAAAGCTTCCAGTGCTTTTCTGTTTCACCTGGGCAAGAGCTACTCTTCTTCTGTACAGTAGGTGCCAAATATCATCCCTCCTTTCTTTTCTCCATCACCAGCATTGAAGATGAGCAGAGCCCCCAGACCAATGGGAATGTACAGAATTGTTATACTACTGAGCTGATTTATTGTACAGAAAACCTTGCATGAAATGTTGTTACTGTATTTAATATATAATGTATTCAAGGAATTTTAATATGGAGCTCTTTAAAAAGATCTTTATAGATACTCTGTGGTTAGAAGATTGTTGCTGATTTTTTTTTTAAATCTTATTATACTTTGTCTTGAAGAAGTTTTATTTTTCAAATGTGTTCTGTCTAATTGATTTAATTAGTTGATCCCATGGGACAACCAGTTCCTCTTCAAAGATTTTCACCGTGGATGAGGTTCACCCTGGTGCAGAGGACCAGGGTATGACCCAGGTACTGCTCAAGCCTTCAAGATAAGGCTTCAGTAAGACTAATGCTGTAGACATGTGATTTGCCTTTCCCCAAAAGGGTGGATTTCACCTTATTTTAGTACACAATAGAATTGTTTAGGTTGGAAAAGTTGTCCAAGATGACTGAGTCCAGTTCCACCTCTCTGTGCAGAAAAATAACCAGTGGGAATTTAATCCAGTACCAGCTCGAGGACATCAGAGGAAACAGCTTCTGTGTTTCCCTGAGGCTGAAAATCAGTTTGGGAGAGTCTGGTCTGGATTCAGAGGCCAGACTGGATTCAGAGCATCCCAGGCCTATTGGGAGGGCCCAGCAAAGCTTTCAGCTGCCCAATGGCATCTCCCTGGGACATTGTGCCTGCAGGAACCTGCTTGGCCCATCCATTGCACCTCCTGAGTTAACAGTGTTTTCCCTGGACTTGAGGTGCGCTGGGGGATTATTAATTTTATCCAAATTTGTGTATGTGTGGGTGTGGAGGAGTTCCTGGTGTAAAAGCCTGGGCAGGGTCAGTCTGTTCATGCAGTCGTTGGGTCGCAGTTGAGTCACCAAACCCTGAGCCTTCGTGGGCAACAAACCAGAGCTGGGTCCCAGCCAAAGGCTTGTTCTTTCCAGCAGCAACAAATTCAGTTTGGTTTCTATTGTGAGCCTTCAGATCTACCTAGAAAATAGCACAGGTAACCTGCAGGAGTCCCCCTTGCTAGGAGGGACCATTTTGTCACATCATTTCCCTTTCTGAGTGGCTGAACACATCTCTCTTCCCCCCATCCTTTAATTACTTGGAATACAGGTTTCACTCCATTCTCTTTGATTACAGAGGCTTATACTTCAAATATCTTAACGATGTAGAAAAATATCCAGAGATGTAATTATTTTTTCTTTTATTCTTCAGTGAAGGGTCAGGACAAATCACAGAGTAGTTATTTATTGCATGTGTGCCACCAACAGCCTGCTGGGCTGGACCATGTTCTTGTGGAAACATGGAGATCCTAAAGCCAAGACCATCACTTCGGGATCAGGTCTTGGGTCTTACCAAGGCATCTAAATGTGCAATACAAGGGAGATGGGCTCTGGGTGGCTGCTTTGCCCAGGAGTTTGTTAAAAAAAGCAGCTTGGAGGCAAACCTCTGGGCTCCTTGCTTTTTTTGGCAACAGAGTTTAGGAATTATTTCCTTTTTAGTTTTATTTTGATGGTGCTGCCTGGCATATTCGAAGGCTTTAAATAAAACTTAGGTCTTTCCAGCAGGACCTTTAACATCGGTGGGCTGCTGTGGCAGATCCTCCACGAGGTGCAGGGCATAGGATGTGCTGGGGTGGCAGCATGGGATTATCCATGAGCACTTTATACTCCTTCCTCAGGGGCCAAGCACTGTGCTGGGGTACAGCCAGGGTGGGTGGGGAGGGTCCCATCTCCCCGGGGCAAACACCCAGTGGATCAGCTTTGGGCAGCAGCTGTGGAAAGTCTTTTGTACAGTTTTGGGATGTTGTGTCATTGTGGGCAGTCACTGGGTGAGCTCTTCCCCCTGTGGTGTGTGATCCCGTGGGGAGGCAGGTTGGAAAAGGAAAAAGAGCAAAGTAGTGCATCCTGTGTTTTATTTGTGTTGTGTGGCCGCCGTAGGGCTCAGGGCGTGGATGAGGTTTGGGATTTGTGTGTTTGAGGCTTTGGCATTGGGAAGATGCCGTGTGTGTGTTTCTGATGCCAAGGCTGGATGGTACCACCAGGCTCTGGAGAGGTCAGCTGGAGGGACAGGCTCTACTGGAGGGGACTTTGTTCCTGTAAAAACATCAAACCTGGGATGGAACCGGAGTTTCTGCTCACGGTGTGGATGGTAGAAGTAACTGGAGGAGCAATAGGAAAATTCAGCATTAATTTTTGTTTCTTCTTTTGTGCATCAGGTTGATAGTGCTGCTCCCCAGACAGGGTCCTGCTCCACCAAAACTCCTCAATTGCTGTGCAGGGGCTCAGGCTGGGAGATGTTCATGAGGTTGTGACCTTGGCATCACGTCACTCCTGAACCTCAAACACACCAGAGTCCCAGTACCAACTCCTAAGACTTATTGTGATTTTTGGACCATACCTGCCATGGCCACCACCTTCTATAAATGATGCCAGAGATTCAGGCCCACCTGAATTGTTTTTTTCCCCCAGTTCTGCAGTGGCATTTTCTGTCAGGGGAAACAGTGTGGACTCAGGTTTTTGGGACCAAGGAGAAGGCTTCACCCCATGCAGAGCTTGCATGGCAAGGTTAGGGTTAGGGTTTGCAGGGCTGCAGTGAGGAAAGGGAAACACAGGGTGAATTGTGCTCCCTGGACCTTTCCTCGTGGTGCCATTCAGCTTTTGGTCTGGGTGGGGCATTAAATGAGCCAAAATCTGTGTGTGCCTGGAGTGATGGGGCCGTGGGTACCTCAGTCCAGGCACTTGGGACCAAGAGGAGGGTGACCACTGAGCTGCCAGGGGGTGCCCTCAGTGGCTTGGGTCTGGGAATAGGTTGATTATTTTTTATATGAGATGCCTGAACAGCCAAATCTAGAAATCTCTGAGTTCGTGCTCTGTAACAAAAGATAAATCATTATAACTTGGGGGGGGGTGGTGGGAGGGTGTTAACTGAGGGACAGAACTGAAAGAAATGAGGTTTCCTATTTTATTATACGAGAGATATTTTTCCACTAAACTACCGCTTCCTAAATCGTGTCCTTTGTCTGACTGTAAATAGCCAGGTGTGCCGGGAAGACGTGGGAAGGCTCCTCGTGGTCACATCCATACAATCCACTCTGTTCACACAATATTGAGCTGATTTGTTTTATACTTAGAAAATTACAGAAATAAAAGCGATTTTACTGGATGACTCTTGGGTTTTTGTCTAGTTGCTGTTGTTGTTGGGGTTTTTTTTTACCTTTTTTTTATTTTTTTTTTTTGCTTTTCTTGTCCAGTTTGTGGCTAATTCGGGGGACATTTGGGAGCCCATGGAGCTGTATGGGAGTGCCTGAGGGCATTTTTCATCCGTAAAAGGAGTTGTGCTCACCAGATCAGGATTTCTTGTGGGTTTTCAGAGGAGCCAAACTAGAATTGGAGCTGAGCTTGTGCCTGGCATGGGATAACAAAGGCAAAATGAACAGAGTGGCATGATGTGACTGTTGGGAATTTTTTAATTTGCTCTTGGGGCGCAAGAATACGAATAACAGTGCTAATTTTGACTGCGTCCAGAATAGTCATCACCTTATCACCCCCAGCTGAGAGGGGAGGATTAAATAAGCCCTGCAATGACCTCCACAAGAAATAATTATGAAATAAATGGTAATTAAGTAACTTGGCCTCCTCTGGGAGTATGCCACAGGGCCTGGGGCCGTGCGTTCCCATCTCCGCATCACCCGGAGCTCTGCCCACGGTGATGTTTAGAGTGGAAAATCCTGATGCAGCTGTGGATCCTGTTTTGGAGCAAATCCGTGTTCATGGCAACATCCGCCCTTGGTGTGGTTTTGCTGGGATGTGGCCCCGTGTGCCCCTTCCCAGTGCTATGAGCAGGAGAAAGGTGCTGCACAGGGAAAGCCAAAAGCTCTGTGACCCACAGTGGGTCACAAAGAGGCACATGGGATACCCTGGCAAATGCTGGTTTTGGGAAAGGGCCGTTGCTTGGCCTCCTCTTTCCAGATGTAGACCGTGTTCTTTCCAGTGTCAGAGCATGAGGACCACCCCTGCCATGGCTGAAGGTGACCCTCAATGGTCCCCCAGACCAGCCACGCCTGAGGGTGCAGTGCTGTCTCAGGACATGGTGGTGGAGGCAAAACCACCCCAAATTCCCCACTTGATGTTGTATTGGTCCCTACACCCCCGGGGACCATCACCACTGGGGCTATGCTTGTCTTTTGGAGCCATGATTCAGAAAACAAGGATTACCCTCCCAAAGAAACCAAACCAGGGGTCCCTGTACCCCATGGCAGTTGTCCAGCTGTCCCATGGGATGTGCATCCACACTTCCAGCGGCCTCAGTGGCCACAGGGCCACTGACACCCTTTTCCCCCAGCATCTCGGGTTCATGTTTGCTTTGGCGTTGGCTAAACCACCACTGAAATATTTCCAGTTGTCACAGCAAGTGGGGGTGGAAATGCCACTTCTGAGGGGTGAGCACCTCCGAAAACATCTCCCTGTGCCGGGGCGTCGCAGCACGGGACAAGCACGGAGCGGAGCCAGCCCTGCTGGGAAGGAGCGAAGAAGGGTCAAGGACAAGTTAAAATTGGAAAGAAAACTGAACATGCTGTTTTGCAGGACCTTGCTTGCTCTCATTTGCCAATTTTTTTTCCACCCTCCCCTTCCCATTGCCAGCAGGGCAGTGTCACCATCTCCCGTGGCTGGTGAGGGCAAGGGGGGTCTGTGCCAGCCAAAATTGTTGGGAAGAGCCATCGGCTCTCAGGGGCTCTTCTTGGCAGCCTCAACCACAGCAAGGTCCCCTTTGCACCCGCTGTCATATTTTACATCTCCTTGCCTCTGGGTTACTCCTCCCCATCCACAGATCTGAGCGTGCTGCACATTTTTGTGCTGAAATTCAGAGCTCTGTGCTGGACTCTGCCAAGCATGAGTCCGGGTTGCGTAATGAGCTTCATCTCTTATTTTTGGGTTTCCTCCCCCCCCCCAATAAGTTTTTGGAAAAGCTATGTCTGAGAGCCTAGAAAGACCTGTCAGCTTTTATGCCTTCCACAGTTTTGTTTTTGTGGGTGTGGGTGGGGTTGATCCCCATGAAGAGGCTTTCAGAGCACCCTCTTTGTGCTCCAGCAGCTCCTCCATCCTCTGTGTCCATGTCCCAGCTCAAAGCAAGGATGCACTCACATTTCCAAATGTCTCCCTTAAAAACACTATTTTTTTGCAGGCTGAGC